GGAATAACCATAAATCTACTATTCACTAAAACAAGAGGCCCAGATGGGATGTATCTCACCTGAATATGTTCAAAACAAGAGGCCCAGAGGGCCTGTATCGCTCACCTGGATACCTAAGCAATCATGGCAAAATATTCTCCAAATGAGATCAAGGGAATATGACACACCCCAAGGCCAATCCTTGTAACATAGCTATATTAGATTTTTCATGCCCAGCAATTTTATGTATGGTTATGGGGTGGGGATCTCAACTGTTTCCAAGCTTTGACTCAGTAACTAGGTCCCTAGAGTTGTGGCCAGACCCCAGGATCGATTCTAATATCGTGACTGCATTTGTCTCTTTTTGCCCAGCATTTGTATATATAGTTTTGGGGTGGGGATCTCAACCGTTTCAAAGTTATGACCCAGGGGCCAAGTCTGCAAGGGTGGGGCAGACCCTGGGATCAATTCTAATATCATGACTGCATTCGTCTCTTTATGCCTAACAATTGTATATATAGTTTTGGGGTGGGGATATTAACCATTTCAAAGTTATGACCCAGGGGTTAAGTCTCCAAGGGTGGGGCAGTCCCCAAGGCCAACCTGGAAGCATATGTACAATCATCTCTTTATACTCAGCAATTGTAAATATACAGTTATAGGGTGGGGCTCTCAACTGTCTCCAAGCTGTGACTAAGAAACTAGGTCCCTATGGTCTATTCTGATATCATGATTGCATTCGTCTCTTTATGCCCAGCATTTGTATATATAGTTTTGGGGTGGGGATCTCAACTGTTTTTAAGTTATGGCCCAGGGACTATGTCTCCAACGGTGGGTCCAGACCCTATCGACATCCTGGAAGCAAATGTGCAATCTTCTCTTTATACTCAGCAATTGTATATATGGTTATATGGTGGGGATCTCAACCATTTCCAAGTAATACATTTTATTGGCCCCACCCCTTAGCCCGGGGGGTCAGCCCTACCATTTGTACAATTTTGAATCCCTGCCTCCCATGAATACTTCCGACCAAATATGATCAATATAAATGGCAAAGTTCTGCAGAAGAAGTCGTTTATAGCAATATAATCAAATTGCCCCCTTTTGGCCCCGCCCCTCAGTCCCCTGGGGGGTCAGCCCAACCATTTGTACAATTTTTAATCTCCACCACCTAGAGATGCTTCCAGTCAAATAAGGTTGATACCCATCACTTAGTTCCAGAGAAGAAGTCGCTAAAAGCAGTATAGCCAAATACCCTGTTTGGCCCTGCCCCTCAGCCCCCTGGGGGGTCAGCCCCACCATTTGTACAATTTTAAATCCCTGCCTCCCAGGAATGCTTTTGATCAAATATGATTGATATCCAGTGCACAGTTCTACAGAAGAAGTCGTTTGAAGCAATATAGCCAAATTGCCCCCTTTTGGCCCCGCCCCTTAGCCCCCTGGGGAGTCAGCCCCACCATTTGTACAATTTTTAATCACCACCACCTAGGGATGCTTCCAGTCAAATATGGTTGATATCCACTTCTTAGTTCCAGAGAAGAAGTCGCTTAAAGCAATATGGCCAAATTGACCCCTTTTGGCCCCGCCCCGCCCCTCAGCCCCCTGGGGGGTCAGCCCCCCATTTGTACTATTTTGAATCACCACCACCTAGGGATGCTTCCAGTCAAATTTAGTTTAATTCCAACCAGTGGTTAAGAAGAAGAAGTCGTTTAAAGAAATTGTTGACGTACGGACGTACAGACGGAGGGACGGACAGACAACGGACGCCACGGTATGGCATAAGCTCACATTGGTCCTTCGGACCAGGTGAGCTAATAATTGGTATGAAGTAAAGATATAGCACTCCAGGGTAGGTGCTGTGTACATATGAAATTTCAGAAAGATCCATCCAGTACTTTAGATATAGCGAGAACAAAATTCAAACAGAGCCCCACCCCTATGCCCCTAGGGGGGGTCATACCCACCAATTATACAAAATTGAGACCCTTGGCCAAAGGATGCTCCAGACTAAATAAGGATAAAATCCCTTAATCCCGATGGTCAAAGAAGAATTTCAAAGGTTTCACCTCTATTTCTCATTGGGCCCCGCCCTTCTGTCCCCTGGGAGACCACACCCACTGCTTATACAAAATTGAGTCCCATTGCCTCAAGGATGCTCCAGATAAATTAGGATAAAATCCGTTAATCCCTATGGTAGAAGAAGGATTATAAAGGTTTTACCTCTATTTCCCCTATTGGGCCCCGCCCCTCTGAGTTCCACCGTTTATACAAAATTGGTTCCCCTTTACCCAAGGATGCTACACACCAAATATGGACCAAATCCTTTCATTCCTACAGAATAAGGATTTTCAAGAATAATTTGCTATGCTTCCCCTATTGGGACCCGCCCCTACGGCGCCTGGGGGGCAAGACCTTCAGCTTATACAAAATTTGTTCCCCTTAACCCAAGGATGCTCCACACCAAATATGGACCAAATCCTTTCATTCCTACAGAAGAAGAAGGATTTTGAAGAATAATTTGCCATGTTTCCCTTATTGGGCCCACCCCTCAGGCCCCTAGGGGGCCAGACCCAAGGTTTATACAAAATTGGTTCCCCTTCACCCAAGGTTGTTCAGACCAAATATGGAACAAATTCTTTCATTCCTACAGAAGAAGGATTTTAAAGAATTTGTTATATTTCCCCTATTGGGCCCCGCCCCTCAACCCCCAGGGGGGCTAGACCCACCATTGATACAAAATTGGTTCCCCTTCACCAAATGGATGCTACAGACCAAATATTGAACAAATCCTTTCATTCCTAAAGAAGAAGAATTTTTAAGAATTTGCTATATTTCTTGTATTGGTCCCTGCCCCTCAGCCCCCAGGGAGGCCAGACCCATCATTGATACAAAATTTGTTCCCCTTCCCCCAAGGATACTTCTGACCAAATGTGGTCAAAATCTGCTCGGTCATTCATGACTAGAAGTGTTTTAAAGGAAAAGTTGACGGAGGGACTACAGAAGGACGAACGCCAGATGGCGGACCTTCGGACCAGGTGAGCTAAAAACCCAGGACAGAACAATTATAGTAACTTGCAATTTGTCTCGCTTACAATGGTAAAAAGATAGGTTTAAATTGGAGAATCTGGAATGGGTTGTCAGTGACTAGATACATTTGTAAGTGGAGTGTTGGTAAGAGAAACGATGTGGCTTCAATGTATTTTCATCTCGGTTAAACCAGGGACACTATACGTCCCTGGTTAAACACACACAAAAAAGAAAACAAATTATATAATTATATCAATTGTGTTTTTATTGCACTTTAAAATTTCAGACTTTTGGTAAAAATAAGTATTTTCACAAAGATACATACTCTGTAATAATACCGACAATAACATACATAGAACAGCATTGTTGACACAAGGTGTATTCAGTTAAATCATACAGAATGACCTCCCTTTGTGTTATATTATGTGGCACAAGTAGTATCTAGTTCAGGACAGAGTTACCTCCCTTGGTTTTGTTATGTACGATGTGTTTAGAAGAGTATTTTGTACTAAAAAATAAATCTCGTGGATGCTTTGTACAATAAATACCATATTTACAATATTAAAATCATTTCCTGTGACATCTTTTGTTAAGACTCCTCAACAAAATATATCAATATTATAAGAAGCTCTCAATAAATTGTTAAAAATATGGCATCAATGTAGATTATAAGTGTTAATGATAATTGTTAACACAAGAATATAACGATAAATAATATAATTTAAATAGTTGTTCACAAAAATGCTTTCCATTGGAAAGGAATCACCATTTAATTACAATATATACTTGTATGATAAATGTGCATACTAATCATTGTCATTAAAATTCATTCTTTAATGAAAAATAATTATACAAATGAATATTCATTCAAATTTAGTAAATAATTGTTAAAAATATCTATTACTGTAACAATGATAAAAGTTTAGCAACAACAGTGTAAGCGTATGGGTGACCAAGACAATAGATGCAAGCGTATGGATGACTCGGAGATATCACATTGGTTTTACATATTTAAGTAAATAAAGGCAATGTTTTGTTTAGAGTAATCAATATTGAACACAGCTTTTTATTGATTAAGACTAATTGTTAAAATTGAAAAGTTGCAACATATATCTGGTGTTCAAGTTCATTCAGAAACATGCAGTGAAAAGACTAATACACTCTTTTAACTAATGCATACAAATAAAGCCCCAAGTCCCCACCTGGAGGGGCTTTATTAGCATTCAGCACTTGTACATAGCCCTTTGACTTTAACCTCCCAGCTAACAAACATACAGAAATAATGCCAAATATGTTGCATCTCTCCCTTTTCAAAAGTCCGGGATCCAACCCAACCCTTGATGAAATGTATTTATAAAGGTCATTAACTTGAAGAAATCAACCAAGCTTTTATGAGTTGTATTTGTCTGGGACACAAACGGTGAAGTTTTACTTTATTACCAGGTTGTTTCCCTTTATATAGCGGTCTTATCTTTTCGCAATCTGATACAAAATTAAATCCTTCAATCTATTCCCATACAGTGCACTTTGATTAAGGGTCGGACAAATTTAGCTTTAAAGTCAAAATATGACCTTCTATGATTCTTCAAAGGGTCAGAAACTGACAATGTTGCATAACCCAAATTTATTGCATCAAGCGCTTTGAAAAGATTGATCTATTTCAAGTGAAAATTGGTGTGACATAAAATATAACATCAACCTCCTCATAATAAGGAGCCTATCAAATTCTTACTGACTCTCTATAGAAAATAAAGAGTCACCACAAACGACAGCTCAAAACCAATGATTTCTTCAAGGTTCAATTACAATGTATTGAAGTTGTTTCCTAGCGAGACTTTTATCTATCTACTGGTGGCATGATGCCCTGAAAATTCTTGTGTTAGAAAACACCCAGGTACTAGTATTCCGTCTTTGCGTATTGCAGAGTTATGTTATGTCATTGGTTTGTGTGAGAAAATTACGTCGTTTTCTCAAAAACTGATGACGTTGCTCTCACAAACAAATGACGTAACAATCAATACCTGCTCACAAGAGAAGATAACTCTGCAATACGAAAAGACGGAATATATATTTTGGCATCAGAATAAGGAATAAAAGTATCCTAAACATGACCATTGATGCAGTGTTGTCTCAAGTGATATACAGAGGAAAGATAGATCTTTCCATATCTTTTCACTGTTAACCTAATTATATATGTACAAAAGTAATAACTGCATGGTTCTCAACATTAGTCCCCCATTCTGTTAAATGTATAACGTTAAAAGTGATATTTTTTCAAAGTGTACACAAGCTATACTGTGGGCAGTGTTTTGATCTAGACTATTACATACATATCACGATGTGTTCTCCTGCTGTGCGTTTCATTTAGTTATTACAATGTGTCTCGTCTATTATAGTAGGTCTCATCAATCACAATTTGTCTTACCTTTCACAAGGCGTCTCCCTACAATGTGTCATATCCATTATAATGTATCTCAACTATCACAATATATCTCACCCATAACAATGTATCACCATGTCAGGACAAAAGATCTGGCAGCACCAAGTGAAAGCACCACACAAATCACAATGGACACTAACTCCCTTCTACAATCCCAAACCCTAACCCTTTTGATTTTTCTATGTCAACCTTTTCCTTTCCTTCCCCATTTTTTCAGAATCATCCCTTTGCATTTTCTTGCAACCCTGTGGTAGCCAGACCATTCATTAATATCTCATACCCAGATCTTTTGTACCATAACCCCTTAACCTTTCCTGCTTAGCCATATGTAAGGATGGTGTGAATATAATCTCTCTTATGCTCACATATAACCAGGTGGGAATCAAAAACCACAATCAGTGTTTTTCACTACCGTGTATAACAGGTACGCAATGAAGTCTTAATTAATGTCCAATAAAACGATCATTAAATCAAAAACTTGCAACTACCAGGTAAAACACATTTAAATTTTTTGTTAGAAAAATATTTAAAATAGAGGCAGTAAAGATAAACACCCGGTATTAATAATAGGAAACTGAAATATGTTATATGTTGTTTACAATTGGCTGCATGTAAAATTGCACCAAACTACTTACATACTGTAACAGTTTGCATATCACCTCACACCTCAAAAAACCTGATACAAAATAACTTTGTATACTCTCACACGACAACAACCTGATACAAAATAACTTTGTATCATCTCACACAACAACAACCTGATACAAAATAACTTTGTATCATCTCACACAGCAACAACCTGATACAAAATATTTTTGTATCATCTCACACAGCAACAACCTGATACAAAATAACTTTGTATACTCTCACATTGCATAAACCTTATACAAAATAACTTTGTATCATCTCACACAGCAACAACCTGATACAAAATATTTTTGTATCATCTCACACAGCAACAACCTGATACAAAATAACTTTGTATCATCTCACACAGCAACAACCTGATACAAAATAACTTTGTATACTCTCACATTGCATAAACCTTATACAAAATAACTTTGTATCATCTCACACAGCAACAACCTGATACAAAATATCTTTGTATACTCTCACATTGCATAAACCTTATACAAAATAACTTTGTATCATCTCACACAGCAACAACCTGATACAAAATAACTTTGTATCATCTCACACAGCAACAACCTGATACAAAATAACTTTGTATCATCTCACACAGCAACAACCTGATACAAAATAACTTTGTATCATCTCACACAGCAACAACCTGATAAAATAGTTTTATATCACTCGTATGTCACACCTGATCAACAGGGTAACACCCTCATGTAATATGATACAACTACTCACAATTTCTTCACAAACATGAAAATGAAAATATTATGTTGATAGCAATAACTGTTGGTCCATTCTGATAATTTTGGAATAAATGAATCATCTTTCAATGATTTTCGGTGATATTCACAGCAATAATAAAACATGGTAATTTTTGCCATGACATTGTTCAGGTGTATACATGAATTAATCAATCATTGTCATAAAGGTATATAGGAGGGTATCACAATATAAGGGATATATACAGTGAAGTTTGGTATCCTGTATGCATCACAATATGTATGCGTCTGTGGTGAAGGGAGATGACATCTGTCCACTATAAGCCACTTGTCCAGCTGACGACATTGTCCACCCCTCCTCAGGACTTTGGTTTGTTCACAACTGCATAGATCGGCTCCTAGGGAAGGAATAAAGATAACAGGTTGTATGCTGGTTACACATTACACATTTCATATTAACATACATGCTATCTTATTATTACATGATATCATAGAATGATTTCAGGCATGGCCATTTACATTCACTCTGCCAAGGTGGCAGATCACATACATTAAAATTCTTGTGAAATATTGCAGAATGTAATAAAGTGGTTACCCAAAGCAGAGTGATAATGTATAAGCATAGTGTTGTTCTTGATTAAGTAGAAGCCAAGCATTTAAGCTAGACATGAAGCCATGCAGTAATCTAACACTGAATCTGTGTATATTAGTTAACACCTAAGTTAGAATGTACAGAATGAGAGCCAACATTGGTTTATAAGTCTCACCTCAGCACACACTGAAAGACATGTCGCCTCATACCACGGCCTTAATTCTGAAATAGGAGATCAGTGTTATAATAATTGGCTCTCAAACAACATTCTCACACAAATCAGTGGCTCCTGATCCTACTATAAAACCTGTTTATACAGTCAACTGGGGTGCGCAAGCTGCCAGTTTAGTAAACAGTATTAAACACACTCCACTAATGTCGGATTATTAACATTCAGGGGAATCAAATAGGCAAGACGAATAGTCATTATCATGATACAGGAATTTTGTTGCACTGTTGATTTCATTGCACAAGAGATACCAGATAATGTCATGATCAATACTGAGTGTACTAAATACTGGTTAATGTAATGATCCATATTGAGTGAACTAGAAACAAGACAATATCATGAGCAATGCAGAGTGTAGTAAATGCTAGATAATGTCAATACTGAGTGTACTACTTATATTTGATAATGTCACGATCATGTGAGTGTACTAAATACTAGACAAGAGGCCCAGAGGGCCTGTATCGCTCACCTGAATATTTAAGCAGTCATAGCAAAATATTCTCATTAAATATTATATTGCACTACAAATATTTCCCTCGCAAACTTTGTCGGCTCCATCTGTTGAAACTACTAGCCAAATATTGTTATAAGATTCTATGCTTTTTTATTCTTCTTCAGAAGTTGCTTGACATATTTTTCCCTGTGACCTTGTAAGTAGGTCAATGTCATTTTCCTTCTAAAATTGGTTAGCTCTATTTCAAAAAGCTACCAGCCAAATCTAATGAATTCGTTCCTTATAGTTCTTTAATCCTTTAAAATGTTGTTGACCTCTGTGACCTCTAAAGTCGGTTGATCGCTGTGACCCTGAAAGTAAGTCAAAGTCATTTTCATTTGTAAACTTAAACCTGCTCAATTTAATGAAGTTACCAGCCAAATATTAAGATTCTTTACCTTTACGTTCTTTGGAAGAAGTCGTTCAAAGAGAAACATATTTGACCCCTTGAAAGTAGGTCAAGGTCATTTTCATTCTCAAACTTTGTTTGGCTCTATCCCAGGAAGCCACCAGCCAAATATTAAAATTTTATGCCTTTCAGTTCTTCTTCAGAAGTTGTTTTAAGCGTTGGCATATCTGACTCCTGTGACCTTGAAAGTAAGTCAATGTCTATTTCATTCTCAAACTTTGTTGGTCTCTATCCCAGGAAGCCACCAGCCAAATATAAAGATTCTCTACCGTTCAGTTCTTCAGAAGAAGTCGTTTGAAGTGTTTGACACATTTGACCTTTGTGACCTTGAACGTAGGTCAAGGTCATTTTCATTCTCAAACTTTGTTGGGCTCTACCCCAGGAAGCCATCAGCGAAATAGGAAGATTCTTTACCTTTTAGTTCTTTAGAAGAAGTCGTTTTTAGCATTCAACATATTTGACCGCTGTGACCTTGAAAGTAGGTCAAGGTCTTTTTTGTTCTTTGTCGGATACCTACCAACAAAGCTTTCAGCCAAATATCATGACTCTAGGCCTGTCCTTTATTCAGAAGAAGTTGTTTAAATGAAAAGTTGACAGACGAGGATGGACGACAGACGCCGCACCATGACATAAGCTTTTGGGCAGGTGAGCTAATAATGTCAATACTGAGTGTAATTATTATATTAAATAATGTCACGATCAATGCTGAGTGTACTAAATACTGGATAATGTCAATACTGAGTGTACTAACTATGAGATAATGTCACGAGCAATGCAGAGTACTAAATACTAGATAATGTCAATACTGAGTGTACTAACTATTAGATAATGTCACGAGCAATGCAGAGTGTACTAAATACTAGATAATGTCAATACTGAGTGTACTAACTATATTAGATAATGTCACGACCAATGCTGAGCGTATTAAATACTGGATAATGTCAATACTGAATGTATTAGTACTGGATAATGTCAATACTGAGTGAACTATACACTGGATAATGTCAATACTGAGTGTCTTAGATACTGGATAATATCAATACTGAGTGTCTTAGTTCAGGATAATATCAATACTGAGTGTCTAAGTACTGGATAATGTCAATATTGAGTGTCTAAGTACTGGATAATATCAATACTGAGTGTCTTAGTACTGGATGATATCAATACTGAGTGTCTTAGTACTGGATAATGTCAATACTGAGTGTCTTAGTACTGGATAATATCAATACTGAGTGTCTTATTACTGGATAATGCCAATACTGAGTGTCTTATTACTGGATAATATCAACACTGAGTGTCTTAGTACTGGATAATATCAATACTGAGTGTCTTAGTACTGGATAATATCAACAATGAGCGTCTTAGTACTGGATAATGTCAATACTGAGTGTCTAAGTACTGGATAATGTCAATACTGAGTGTCTTAGTACTGGATAATATCAACACTGAGTGTATTAATACTTGATAATGTCAACACTGAGTGTATATTAGATACTAGATCATGTTAATGTTCAGTGTAGTTGACACTAAAAAATCTCTGGATAAACTTAATGCTGGTTAATTGGAACTGTATTAATTAATGAATAATATTAATATTACATAGGGGAATCAAACATTTCTAAAGCAAAATAAAATCATCACCAATATTTCCAATCAAAAGCTTAATGAGTCCTATAAAAACAGTACACATAATGACAATTCTATTGATGATAATGGCGGCATTACAAAGTAACAAAGCCCTGCCACCATATGATCAGAGTGAGTATGCATTACAGAGTAATATCCCTTCCCTCACCATCAGAGTGAGTATGCATTACAGAGTAATATCCCTTCCTTCACCATCAGGGTGAGTATACAATACAAACAGTCATTACTCTTCCAACACAAAATAGGTAAGTATACAAATACCAAATAATTACCCCTCCCTTGATCATCATTAGGGTGAGTATACATTACTCACAGACCAAACAATTACCCCTCCCTCACCATCAGGGTAAGTATGCCTAACAAATACCTAATAATTACCCCTCCCTCACCATCGGGATGAGTATGCCTAACAAATACCTAATAATTACCCCTCCCTCACCATCAGGGTGAGTAATGCCTAACAAATACCTAATAATTACCCCTCCCTCACCATCAGGGTGAGTAATGCCTAACAAATACCTAATAATTACCCCTCCCTCACCATCAGGGTGAATATACTTTACACAAGGTGACAAACCTGTGAGTTACGTCCCCTTTTATAAACTACTGCCCCAATCCTACATTGTCTGTATATGCATATGTTTTTTACAAATGGTCTAATATGAGTTGGAAGTCTTTTGTTTTCAGAACTAGAATTAACCTGGTTAACACAATAAATGGGTTTGAATTTACTGTGTATCTGATCAATTATGTCACTCCCATTAACTTACAATTTACAGTGAATATACCGGGGAATTTAAATGGTAACACAAACAACTTCGAGCCCGGAATTAAAGAGTACCTTGACATGTGTAAGTTATGCATTATGTTTTGCAATCCCTCCAATATATACAAGAACTCTACTTGTCAGGAAATCTGACATTGGGATGAAAGAAATATTCTGTTTTTTAAAGATTGTGACTGCTTTGAGCCAAAATTCGGCCTTTGTTATAACTAAGGTTGCTTACAAGTAGCATGTACCCGAAATACTGTGTAATATTTCCCCCAAAATATTGACACAAGAAGGCAAGAGAAAGGTGCCAAGGCTACACTTAGAAGGCATACAACACCTGGCATTAAGCTCTCAACCTACTTCACTACACTGTTGCTTATCAAAGAAGTCATCAAAAAGATTTGTATCTTCAGACTGAAATATAAAATAGCAAACACAAAAGATAATGCACTAAAAGATTAAACAACACTCAATATCATTAAGTGGTATTAAAGGATTTACAGGCAAATGAAATCAAACCAAACAGGCGAAGCTAAAGTCACACCAGACCTCATAGGTATGGAGAGTGGATGGTAGCTATTGAACACCTCCCTATGTAATACAAAGACCTTACAGGTATGGAGACTGGATGATAGCTATTAAACACCTCCCTATGTAAATACAAAGACCTTACAGGTACGGAGACTGGATGGTAGCTATTAAACCCCTCCCTATGTAATACAAAGACCTTACAGGTACGGAGACTGGATGGTAGCTATTAAACGCCTCCCTATGTAATACAAAGACCTTACAGGTATGGATACTGGATGGGAGCTATTAAACACCTCCCTATGTAATACAAAGACCTTACAGGTACAGAGACTGGATGGTAGCTATTAAACACATCCCTATGTAATACAAAGACCTTACAGGTATGGATACTGGATGGTAGCTATTAAACACCTCCCTATGTAATACAAAGACCTTACAGGTATGGAGACTGGATGGTAGCTATTAAACACCTCCCTATGTAATACAAAGACCTTACAGGTATGGAGACTGGATGATAGCTATTAAACACCTCCCTATGTAATACAAAGACCTTACAGGTATAGAGAGTGGATGATAGCTATTAAACACATCCCTATGTAATACAAAGACCTTACAGGTACGGAGACTGGATGGTAGCTATTAAACACCTCCCTATGTAATACAAAGACCTTACAGGTATGGAGACTGGATGGTAGCTATTAAACACCTCCCTATGTAATACAAAGACCTTACAGGTATGGAGACAGGATGGTAGCTATTAAACACATCCTTAGGTAATATGAAGACTTTATAGGTCCTGAGACTGGATTACTATAGATTGGACTGGATTGTAACTATCGATTTGACTGGATTGTCGATCGGACTGGATTGTAACTATAGATTGGACTGGATTGAAACTATCGATTGGACTGGATTGTAAGTATCGATTGGACTGGATTGTAACTATCGATTAGACTGGATTGTAACTATCGATTGGACTGAATTGTAACTATCGATTGGACTGGATTGTAACTATCAATTGGACTGGATTGTAACTATCGATTGGACTTACCCCACAGCTGACTCATCAATACCACCTGTGTTATTACCTAAAAAACTCAAATACAAGTAAGCAAGCACAAATCAAGGAAAGTGAATTAGATAATAAGTGAAAGCAAGATATAAGCTTCTGGCATTCAAACAGAAGGACTTGTACGTTGTCTCTGTAAAAGTATTACACCGTTTACCTGTTCTTATTGTGTGTTGGCTTCCCTGCCATTTACGTCATTTTTAATTTGCCTCAGAACAATCAATCAGTGTGTTAGAAACAACTTAAAAATGATTACTCTATAAAAATGGTTACCTTATATGCATAAATAATTAGCTTTTCCTCCCTATCATTTGAACCAAGACATATTGAAAACAACATCATTTTGTAGATTCCTAGACATAATGAAGATCGGAACAACAAGGTGAACACAGAGACAACAGGTAAGTACACTGGAATGCCAGAACCTAATGTGCAAAGCTGGAAAAAATGTTTTGTGATTAAATAACGTGCTTTATAGTTAATGAGGTGCACACAGGTAGGTAACTGAAAGTTCATAGAGATAGCTACAGATCTAGGAGTGAAGCAGTCAGTAAGCTTTAGGTCTATGTACCCGTACGTAGATAGCTACAGATCTAGGAGTGAAACAGTCAGTAAGCTTTAGGTCTATGTACCCGTACGTAGATAGCTACAGATCTAGGAGTGAAGCAGTCAGTAAGCTTTAGGTCTATGTACCTGTACGTAGATAGCTACAGATCTAGGAGTGAAGCAGTCAGTAAGCTTTAGGTCTATGTACCGTTAATACAGGTCTACGCGTGATGTCAATACACACCCAATACAAAACCATCATGCTCGGCCGTGATTTCTTGTTAGGATGCAGTTAGTAACAGCCAAGACAACCAACAACAGCAATTCTCATTTATTGTCATACTCACTCCAGTACTATTCCGCTTTTTCTTGGAATTTTTCCTAGAATTTCCACCCTTAAAACTGAACGAATCGTTCAAACAATTATCAAACACTGCAAAAGGATCGTCTTTTGAATCCAGACTTTTGTCGCTATTGTTATTTACATTTGGTTGACTAGACCTGAAAGGGTCATTGACATTTAAATCGTCTACACCGAGAGAACTGGGGAATCCATCAAATGGCGAAGAAGAAAACAAATCTTCAGCAAAAGGGTCCGCGTTGAGGAAGGGATCCTCAATCACAAACTTGTCCAACCTAGGAGCACTGTTTATCACATTGTCAGAACTTGTTGATCCAGTTCCGTCAGACTCTTTATCCACATTGTTTTTGGCAGTTTGAGATGGTTGTCCATTTGAATCTGTTGTGGAAATAGTTTTGTTTGGTGGTGGCAGTGGTGGGGAGTTGTTCATGCTGTTGACCTTTGGCCTTGGCCGCGGTCGTGGCACTGGAGTGTGTTTTAGATTTGACACTGAGTTACGAGGAGGCAGTCTGGGGGGAGAGTCAGGCAGTGAAAGCTTGGAGTTTGTAGAGGCTGCAGCTGGGCTGCCATTGGGACGGGGTGGGGGAGCAGGGGGAATAATTTGAGGCATGTCACTAGATGATGCTGTTGTAGGTAAAGGGGGTGGTGGTCCTTCAGGCGAAGGAAGATCAAAGTCATCATTTTCTGTAAAAGCCAAATTTTTAAATTTTGACTTAGAAGAATGTGGCACATTGTGGAAGGAATCTGGCATGGGCTGACTGGAACTGGCAGGCTGGATATAAGATGTATCAAAAGGATCAGATGTGTTTGTTTGGAAAGGGGAGGAAAAGTTTACCACTGCAGGGAGAGATGCATCGTCTACAGACCCAAAAGGGTCACTGTCACTTGCCTGTGGCCCCTTTGGCACTTGTTCAGTCCTGATCTGGTTGATACTTCTCTTTGGCTGTGAACTCAATTCGGCGAACAAGCCTTTAGGGCTAACACTTGCTTTATCCTTGGTCCCTAATCCACAGAGGTCGCCAAAGGCATCACCTGTACCAGGGCTGGTCTCTACAGAGGGTGCCTCCTCCACTGTCAACTTGACAGGGGCTAGCAGGGGCTCATCAAACAAAGCTCCACCTCCTGTGTTTCCATTGGGAAAGTTGGCAAACCCACCTGTAGGTGCTGCTGGAGCAAATGGATCCTCTCCAAATGGATTTATGGCAGGAGCGAGGCCAGCAGACGGCCTCTGGGGAACTGGTGGTGGTGCCGAGAACTATGACAAAACAAAACATGAATGAAGAGCATGAAACACAGTAACAGGATTGTGTTAACAGGGTGTTGGTTCTATGTAAATATCACATACCGGTAGTAAACATCAGGCTAACAGGATAGTGACTGTGTTTACAAGGGGTTAGTTCAATGTAGATATCACATAGTATAAGGGTGTTACCTTTATGCATGTATATAGATACATATTGAAATTATGTTTCAATTTGAATTTTAGAGATCTATCTTATTCTTCAGTTTTTTAGTTTAGAATTACAGAATTACCTGAGGTGCTCCAAATGGAGGGGGACCCCCAAATGGGTTTGGCATGCCTGGATGAGGGGTGCCTGCAGGCATAGGAGCTCCAGGAAAAGCTGCAGGTGGGATCCCAGGTGGAGCCCCAAATGCTGGTGACACTGATGTCCCAAAAGCTGGTGGTACTGGTGACACAGAGGTCCCAAATCCTCCAGCCATCTGTTGGTTCTGGGGAGGGAACCCTCCAGCCATCTGTGGGTTCTGGGGAGGGAACCCTCCAGCCATCTGTGGGTTTTGGGGAGGAAATCCTGCAGCCATCTGTGGGTTTTGGGGAGGAAATCCTGCAGCCATTTGTGGGTTTTGGGGGCCAAAAAGATTCATGATGTCGTCCTTGCCTTTGATGACTGGCTGTGTGCCGAACAGGTCAATATCTGCAAGATCAGACTGACCACCCTGACCACCCTGAGCGGACCCATTGGTGCTGGATCCAAAATCACTCTCAAACAAGGAATTGTCGGCAGACTTTTGATCAGCTTGAGGGGTGGAACTTGCTCCCCAAGGATCACTACCTGTACTCACTGCTGGTGAGGCAGCCGAGGGAGTACCTGCTGCCAGGGCATCGAAGTCCGTCTCAAACTTGTTCATCTGCTCAATACCCTGTCAACGAACAAACACAATGCTCAAACTTGTTCATCTGCTCAATACCCTGTCAACGAACAATCTAAATGCTCAAACTTGTTCATCTGCTCAATCCCCTGTCAACGAACAATCACTATGCTCAAACTTGTTCATCTGCTCAATACCCTGTAAACGAACAATCACAATGCTCAAACTTGTTCATCTGCTCAATTCCCTGTCAACGAACAATCACAATGCTCAAACTCGTTCATCTGCTCAATACCCTGTCAACGAACAATCTAAATGCTCAAACTTGTTCATCTGCTCAATACCCTGTCAACGAACAATCACAATGCTCAAACTTGTTCATCTGCTCAATACCCTGTCAACTAACAAACACAATGCTAAGACATTGGCATCTTATAACAGAGGCGAAGAATACTCCCTACAAAAATCCTTTCAACCACACTTACCTGTTCAATTGTCTCCAGCTCATTCTCCAGGTCCACTAAGTTGTTTCCAGACTTTTCTACCTTGACCTCACCATTGTTGGATGGCACCTGCAACAACAAAATATCTTGTAAACGATTCATTTATGTACACACCTGTCCAAGAACTAGTATTAAATATCTGCTCACGCACTCTGGCACCCTTGGAATATGTCATAGCAAAATTGATTGCTCTCGGGTAAAGAAACCTGATCAATCGCTGGGCTGATACCTGTTCTTTGAAGATTAAAAAGGAGCAACACCAGACTTTAAAGCCAGTCAATTTTACAGTCCATTACGTGGCCGCAAGATTCTTTTGATGTACATCAAAAGTTCACACTAGTCTTCTCGTCTTCATCTACAAGGTGGTATACTGAGCCTTCAATTTCCCTATGATACACTCCAGTGGTGCAGAGAGTGTAACTGAGTGTAACTGAGTGTAACCCCTGGAATATCGAGGATGTTGAAAAGTTAATTGTGACAATGTGTGGCTGCAGGATCTGGTCTCTGTAGCAGATGTCTGTTAATTATCTGTTGACAAAATCTGTTTTCACACCATAGGTTTTCCCTCTGCAAAGGATTGCTTGCATGGTACAACTTATTTGGTGATTGTGGTCCCCCCCCCCCCCTTTCAGTATACATCATACTTGCCAACTCTTCCTATTTTGAAGGGAGATTCACAGTTTTAGAACCCTAAAATTGAGCATTTTCAATAAGTGAATTCCCTAAACTATTCCTAATCCTATTATCTATAAGATACAATGATTTCATCGGAAAGAACGGCTCAAAAGATGCAATTTAGAAGTTTTTTTTCCCCTAGGGCGTACATACACATATTTAAGTTCTGAGCACTCAAAATCTCCCCCATGAAAATGTAATAAAATGGTAAGTATGATACATATATAAATTTTAAGTACTTTATACATGTTAAGTACTTTATACATGTAAATGTCTTAAGTATTACCAGTATATAATTTTTAGTAGGTGTTGGCAATTTTTTCTTACTTTAGTAGTTACTACCAATTAATGAAACAATTCTTTGAGTGAAAGTTGACAGCAATCAATGTGTCTCTATATGAATGACAGTAAAACACATGTACATGTTAAGATGTTAGTAAATACATAACAAATGTTTTACCAATACTGAAGCAAAGTACATGCAGCTCACTGCAAATAATACACAGAAGCAGACCACAGCAGTCCTCAGAGGACATGTATGGACCTACAGGACAGGATTGGAAAGCCCTACTGCCTTACAAATGGCCGCTGAATATACATGATATGATGTCACATTGACTGAATCACGTTTACAGGTAGTCTACTAGTAGCAGTTGGCAGTAACTAAGTACAGTCAAATTTATATAAAGCAACCAACTAAGGCAAAAAACAACAACATTTGCTTGATGTGTAGAGAATTAGACATGACTGACTAACTGACCAATCCCTTATTTCCCTTACTCTGGCGACTGGTCAGCACACATCCACACACAGGCATTGCTACTAAGTCTGCGACAAATGTTGTTAAATAGATCAGGGGAAGGAGTGAACAACATTCAAGTGGAAATATGAGAAGAGTAAACAAACGTTTGAGAGTTATTCAGCTAAACTGTCATTTTACTAAAAACAATTGTAGATCCCTGTAGACTTGTTAAATTGTACGTGTTAGTGATTTAATGGTTATTACTACTGGAGAACTACAATGTTATTTTTGTCTTGTGAAGGACAAACGTGTGTTCTTGTGAGCTGCCATTCATTGGTTGTCAAGAGCAGCATCCTCCCTATTGAAATTACACCATGATCTCTTAAAATCACTGTATATCCTTCCATCATCACCAAACACACACTTTTCAGGAAAATTGCAAGAGCCTGTAAGAATTGATTTCAGAAAAGATGTCCTCTTATGTGAAATTCTGTATAATTAACTTGAACTAAAGTTTTTGCTCATGTTCACAGTTTTTCATTGATCAATTCAGCGCTTCAAAGTTTATTGCACAGAATATTGAAACCAAGCTAACATTGTCAACTAATTCAGCTAGGCATATTAAGATATTCCTCCCCAGTAAATGGGCCGTGTTCGACAATGAGGCATCCTTTTCTTAACGGCAAATACACATTATTATGGAACTGGCTATAAATCAATAAAAAAAGGTTATAATCAGAAAAAGCAAACTAACAATACTAAGAAAGCATTAGTTGGCAATGACATTCAGAAGCAGAAGATAAAACACACACCAGGAACACAAACAGTGTTGATAACTTACGGCATAAATGTGTTCAGGACTATCCTCTATGGGTGCTCCACTGGTAGGCACCTGGTGGTCGCATGCATAACAGTGGTGGATTACTTATTTATACAAATAATGAATTTCATACCTACATTACAATCAATAGGTATTTGACATTTGTTTACATGCAGGCTTTTATTTCCCTATGCTACGAGTGATGACGAAACAGGAATGCTTTAATTATACAATATTTGTATAGTGCCCTTCATGTATCTTCTTTCAAGGGAATTACTCTAAGACACTTAGCACTTAATACAATTGGGAGAGCTTCACAGCACATTTTCTCAAGACAACTCCTGTAACACCTCGACATGTGAGGGTGCGTGTACCGGAGGTTGTATATATAGACATTTTTCTTCTTGATTGTCACCTACCTGGCTACATACATTAAGTCTTAAAATCAGGAGATTTTCACAGAAAACTGGGAGCTGTAAATTTTTACCTGAAGCTAAGACACACAATCAACGAAACTTCACATGTCTGGGGAAGGTATGATTTGTCAGAGGTAACAGTTTGCCAGTACATTCTGGCTAATAAACAAAACATCCTGTCTGATATCATAGGATATCATCAGTAAATCCGAGGTGACGTCGAACTGTACCTTTTACCTGTCAGATGCCCAGTCCCTACCCCAACAAACCCCACCCCACCCAGCCCCTTAACACAGGACCTACCTGGTAAACTGGCTCATCATCCGTAGAAGATTCTGTGGAAAGCTCTCCTCCAAGCTTGATAACTGTCAAAAAAGGTAAAAGAAATTTAAATAATGAAATTTTCTAAGGCCTCTTTAAACAAGACTTACTCTATATCATTATTAGCTTTACAGGTTTATATTATCTACATCTCTACAGTGTCTTTCCATTATCTACATCTCTACAGTGGCTTTCCATTATCTACATCTCTACAGTGGCTTTCCATTATCTACATATCTACAGTGGCTTTCCATTATTTCGCGTCTTTCCATTATCTACATCTCTACAGTGTCTTTCCGTCATCTACATCTCTACATTGTCTTTCTTTCCATTATCTACAACTCTACAGTGGCTTTCCATTATCTACATCTCTACAGTGTCTTTCCATTATCTACATCTCTACTGGACATTTTCTGGAGGGCACAGAAGCCAGGCACAAGGTGTTTTAGAGAGGGCACAGAAGTCAGGCACAATGTGTTTTAGAGAGGGCACAGAAGCAAGGCACAATGTGTTTTAGAGAGGGCACAGAAGCCAGGCACCATGTGTTTTAGAGAGGGCACAGATGCCAGGCACAACGTGTTTTAGAGAGGGCACAGAAGCCAGGCACAATTTGTTTTAGAGAGGGCACAGATGCCAGGCACAATGTGTTTTAGAGAGGGCACAGGAGCCAGGCACAATGTGTTTTAGAGAGGGCACAGAAGCCAGGCACAATTTGTTTTAGAGAGGGCAAAGAAACCAGGCACAATGTGTTTTAGAGAGGGCACAGAAGCCAGGCACAATTTGTTTTAGAGAGGGCACAGACGCCAGGCACAAGGTGTTTTAGAGAGGGCACAGAAGTCAGGCACAATGTGTTTTTGAGAGGGCACAGAAGCCATGCACAATGTATTTTAGAGAGGGCACAGAAGCAAGGCACAAGGTGTGTGAGTGTCAATATGTATTGCCAATTATTATCACCAAATTGCAGCATATATATATATATATATTGTGTCCCAGATGATTTGTGACGACAGCTTTAGTGTGTGTTGTAGAACATACTATAACACAGAAAGGTGTGTACATTTGGTAGGCACAAGAGTACATACCATTTGGGTTGTCAGGTGGTGGGGCATCGGCTTTAACCTGTCCCTCATCCTCAGCTTTTTGTTTTACCTCCTCCATTTCCTTTTTCTTCTTTTCGTAGACAACTTGGAACAGGTCTCTCAGTGTCAGCACCAGAGCTTCCGACTAACAATAAACTTGTTACATATAGCTAGTACATGTATGAAAAACACTGGAATTCCTTAGTATTTTGCCTGCAGTCGGACATTGACCCTTAACCCTTTCACCCCTATGTAACTTAAGTAGACTCTTCCATGCATTGATATGGATTATGGGCTACAGTGGCGAAAGGGGTAACATACATACAAAATATGTAGTAGCACCACTACTGTATTAAATTTACTGATATGAAAAAAGATCCTCAACCCTTTCGCCACTGTAGACCATAATGAAACCATCCATATCAATGCATGGTAGAGTCTACTTACGTTACATAGGGGTGAAAGGGTTAACATACATACAAAATATGTAGAAGAACCACTACTGTATTAAATTTACTAATATGAAAAAAGATCCTCAACCCTTTCGCCACTGTAGACCATAATGAAACCATCCATATCAATGCATGGTAGAGTCTACTTACGTTACATAGGGGTGAAAGGGTTAACATACACTGTATTAAATTTACTAATATGCAATTTTTGGCAATTTTAAGAAAATATCAGAAGCATCTTTGCTTTCATACTGACATTGCACAAAACATCCATAAAATAAATATTTTCAAATTTGAGCAACTTTCAATTAGATTACAATTACAAGATTTCATTTTAAATTTGTATGTTGCATTACAAAATGTGTGGATTGCTTTAAATGATGGGTGGATGTGATTAAGACATAATTTATTCTGTTCAATAGTTTAAACATACAGCTTTCTCAGTCTTGATTCCAAAGAATTTGTGAGTTCCATCTCCGACCCCGAAGATGTAACCAAAGGCGCGACTATCTGTGACATCCCTGGATATAAAGGAAATCTTGTGGACAGCATGTGTATAGTTCACTACCTGTAAATGGACAAAGGATCATCACTCACTCATTCACATCTTAGATCATTTCATTTTGGTCTCATTGGACAGTTGATAAATTTAAGAATAAATCAATTAATTTAAAACAATCCTAATATGATGTCATGCAATTGTTATGACAGGCGATTTCCCACATCTTTACCCAAGGGTAAGACAGTGATATCTTTCCCTGACTGGAAGTGTGGGGATATCTCTGTCTACTGGGGGAGAAAATAAGCTCTCTTACCCTGGACAGGTGTATCCGCACTTTTACCGGTGTGAGATTTCCTTGTCTCACCCTAGGGTTGATACGGGGGAATTCCCCTATTCATAACAATGGTATGATGTCACTTCAACAATACAATGACGTCACGTCAACAATCCATCAACGTCACGTCAACCCTGAATTTAGCATGTAACGCTATCATTACATTGTGTATATGATACACCTTGGGAGAACAGGGTAAGAGAAAAAGAATCATTCACCCACCCCATTGTGGGTAAGATAGGGGAGGGGAATCTCAACCCTCGGGGAAAGATTTTTAAGTTTGGCAACATAAGAATCTTCCCCCTCGGATTGAGATTCCCCTAAGGCCTATCTCACCCCCAAGGGGGCGAGAGATTCTATTACTCTATCAGACTCCAATTATTATGCATACGGCTGCACAAAACGTACAGGTAAGTGATAACAAGTCCTATAGGACTCTTGTCATACACACAACTATCTTTATTGGTGGTCATGAGAGTATGTGAGACATGCCCTAGATACAGGGTTGCAGGGATGAACTTTTTGACTGAGACTAACAGGTGGACAGAGTGCAGACTTAAAGCCCCCTTGGGTAGTACCAGTGAGGGACTTATAAGGCCCAGTAGACACACATACATCAGTCTTGAAGTCGATGAGTTTGATGCCCTCCTCAGACACGTTGACGATGATCCTCTGTTTGTGTTGCCCTGATGCCTTTACGGACAGCTTTAGTCTGTAGATTGTTTCCTGACACATTCTGTCACCCCGGGCGTCCGGTACATCATCCACGCCAATCAACTTGGCATTGAAGTTCACACCCTCACCTTGGAATCTGGTTGGGTCATTCTTGTCTGTAAAATAAGAAGAACACAAACTTACAAACACATTAGGTCGTAACTAGTGAGACAGGAAATGGAGACTAAACCGTTCTTTGCTGCTTACATGCCTTGTCGGCTATGAACATGAGCAAGACTTAACTTTCTGATTTACGTTGTTCCTAGTGAATTTTTGTTACCTTCAACTTCAGGCAGGGATATCCGACATGTTACCCTGTGGTATTCACAGGGTATTCTACAAGGAATTAGTATTGGTACCTTTACATGATATTTGGCAAAAAAATAAATATGTTGAGCTCTAAACAAATTAACAACCTGCATTAAAAAAAGGATTTTGCATTAAATGTATTGCGCTGATTATATGATACAGAATGTACATCATACAAAGATTTTCCTGACAGACTGTCGTTGTTTTGGGGCTGTGGAGTGGAGACATACCTTTCTTTTTTACTTGTTTCCTGACAGACTGTCGTTGTTTTGGGACTGTGGAGTGGAGACATACCTGTCTTTTTGACTTGTTTCCTGACAGACTGTTGTTGTTTTGGGACTGTAGACAGGAGACATACCTTTCTTTTTGACTTGTATCCTGACAGGCTGTTGTTGTTTTGGGGCGATGGAGAGGAGACATACCTTTCTTTTTGACTTGTTTTCTGACAGACTGTCGTTGTTTTGGGGCTGTGGAGTGGAGACATACCTTTCTTTTTGACTTGTTTCCTCACAGACTGTTGTTGTTTTGGGACTGTGGAGTGGCGACATACCTTTCTTTTTGACTTGTTTCCTGACAGACTGTCATTGTTTGGGGACTGTGGAGTGGAGACATACCTTTCTTTTTGACTTGTTTCCTGACAGGCTGTTGTTGTTTGGGGGCTGTGGAGGGCGTAGAAGATGTAGTACTGGTTGCGGTGCTGGAAGGAGAGGAGGGTTCACTCCCCACCTCTGAAGCGGGCTGGGCCTCAGCTACAGGCGCCATCGTACCCGTATCCATCTGTCTGCTTATTGATGATTATAGCTGTGTTGCTTTGCAGAGTCAAGTAGTTACTGGAAAGACAGGCAGGGGAAACATTTTCAGGTATCACATGAAATTGATATTAGAAAGTCCACTTTTTCTGAATTGCAGGTTTTTGTAACTTTGTACCCAAATTGGGACACATTTTAGATAAATATAAATGTCCTTTATACCATACTATCAGTTCCAAAAATGTTTGTTCATTTTTCATAAATAGATACTATCCACTTTTCATTTCTATTACAAGTTCAAATTTCCGGCGCCTGGTTCTATAAATAGAAAGCGAAATACAAATGTACTATCAGGGTTACGCAGGCCCTTGAACTGGGGTAACTGCACCCTGAAAGAGACACTTTGGTATTTTGGCTAATGGGATCAACAATCAATATCAGCAGAAAAGAAGACATATTTCAATTATTTTAGAGTCAAACCGGATTCTGATTGAAATTCTTCTCCGGGCTAGCATTAATTAGTTTTGATAAAATAGACTTTTGAAAATGGTATCCAAATAAATAGCGTCGCAAGGCACGTAAATCATTCAGGAAAGTTTTGTTTTGGTCATTACTCTTACCTTTAAATTGTCCATGTAACGATAATCGGCAGCCAATTAAGCTTATATATAGTTAAATTGTCATAAAAGTATTATCAAATGAAAACTGTATGGTACACAAAAGTACTTCATTTGCATTGAATGACAGTTTCTTGGGCCGTTTTCCCATACAAGTGTCCCGGTTTGGGTACAGTGACGGTAATACAAACCTTTGGCTTATCACTGGTAGTTACTGTACTGGCTTCTATCGTAGGTATTGTTTGTTTTCCTTTTATCATTATTTAGATGTGTATGTGTGGACAGATTATGATGAACACACAGACTTTGACATTGCCTAGATCTACGACACCTACAGACCTCATTTATCTAGGTAGGCAATCTACAGACCGTATTTATCTCAATGAATGTCAGTCATGCATTCCATTGATAACCAGATATATATGTAAAATCTATGAACTGGTAAATATTCCAATCACCTAGGTATCAAGTTGATCTAGTTAAATATAGTTTTGGATTGCTTATTTCACACCCGGAAAGTAGGTGTTAAATGGTACATCTAATTATATAGCCGATCATATATGAAGGTGTAGGTGATAAGTATTTCTATAGTTTATCATATGGATGTATATCTAGGGATATATGTAGAATCTATCTTTTTAGGAATGGAAAATATTTGGAGGTTATCATGTGACCATGTCCACATATTATTTTACTAAGCGTCATGTATCAACCGGAATCTTGAAGGGTTGAAGGTTGATACAGGGTAGGATATGGAAATGGTCATATTATGTATTGTAGTACTTTTATATCATATACTACATGTTGCAAATATTTCAGTACAACATCAAAAATATTAACACAAATCAAGTGTGCTTGAGGCGTTATTTTTCTGAATTGGGATATGTTTGGCAAATGAACAGCTAGCAGTATGGAATATGCAAAACAACCTGTATTACAAGTGACATGTAACGACATGTATATATATATATATATGACAAATATGTATATGTATTTTCAATAAACCTTTGCATATATAGGCATAAAGGATATGTAATACTATTATTAGGAGTGTGGATGATCTGGGGGGGGGGGGGGGGGGGGGGGGGGGGGGGGGGGGTACAAGTCTTGATTGATCCCATATTCTATATATATTCTCATGTGGAATTTCAAAATGGAGTTTTACGTAAAATAAAACGCTGTCAAGGCAGTCCTCCCAGCTACATATTATATACCTGATCCTAAAATTATGACATCATTAACCATTTTTAGCTTGATGTCACAGCTGAACCTTTGCCTTTAGTGGATAACTCTACCCAACACTCTTTGTGACGTCAAGTCTTACATGCGGGAAAGGTCTATCACACAAGCACAGATATGGGATAAAACAGTTAAAAATAGCCAGGCTGAGATAACTGTTACAATCAGGTCTAATCCAATGACTGATTTACATACACATATACAGAGTTTATCTACAGTATAACTTATACAGGCAATACAAGTACTTTGTAAATATCCACAATTGTAACATTTATATTGCAGTTTGTATCTATGGTTGAACTAATAATATTTTAGGTGATTTTAATTTTCGAAAGGGAATTCTTTTCCGCAGCTCATCCTTGAAACAAGACAGTATAATCCCGACAACATGGAAACTGGCAATTCACGACATATTAATAACCTGTTTATCCATTTGTCCGTTTGGTTACCAGGCAACAAGAACATTTAAGCATGACACCAACACAGCTTACTTTTGAACATGATAGCTACCCATTGAAAACATAAATACACGATGATAGATCTATTTATACAATCTCCTGATAGTGACTCAGCTCATTACCAAAATTGCAAAAAAAAAAATCCAAATGTTCATTCTACATTCTTGTTTGAATTTGAAGTTCCTGTTTGTTGGCGCCTCTACCACATATGCTGAGAGACTCCTCCATGTCTTCTGCATGACTGCTTTTTTTTTTTTTTTTTTTTTTTTTTTTTTTTTTTTTTTTAACTTTTCTGAATTTTTCAATTGTGACCTCATGCTGATGAACCCTCTCTTGATCAGATAAAGATTGTGATCTCTGTGTTGTAATTCTCAGGTAAAATCTTGTAAAGCTCAATCTAAATCTTGTCACACATCAATCTCCTATACACAAGCGTTAGAAAATTTAATTTCTATAGACATTCTTTGCACAATAGAAAGACCTTGTACCTGTTTTGTTGCTTTGGGGCACATTTCCATTTGCTTCAATGCTTTTTGATAAATAAGGGCACCGCACTGGATTCCAATAAATTTGAAGTCTTACAAAACATATATGAGTATATCCACACTAGTGTGTACATTGAGGGGTACCTTAATTAATAACAAATCCTCTGACAGTTCTGACTCATGAAGTCAAATTATACAGACCTTTAAAAAAGGTTTTAAGTACATATATTCCTTTGATTGCCTTATTACTGAACCGAGATAGAAATTGCATATTCATCCCTTGTGCTGACCACATACAAAATCTTATCTTAGACACATGAAATCTTATCCTTGGCATCATATCTTTGAGAACATGGTAGATATATCCTTGACATTATGACCATTTATCCTTGACAACATTGCATCTTTATCCTTGACAACACAAGTTTATCTTTGACAACATGAATTTATCTTTGACAATATGACCATGTATCCTTGACAACATGAGTTTATCCTTGACAACAGGGCATCTTTATCCTTGACAACATAGTTTATCCTTGACAACATGACCATGTATCCTTGACAACATTGCATCTTTATCCTTGACAACAGGGCAGCTTAATCCTTGACAACATGATTTTATCCTTGACAACATGAGTTTGTCTTTGACAACATTGCATCTTTATCCTTGACAACATGAGTTTATCTTTGACAACATGACCATGTATCCTTGACNGAGTTTATCCTTGACAACAGGGCATCTTTATCCTTGACAACATAGTTTATCCTTGACAATATGACCATGTATCCTTGACAACATTGCATCTTTATCCTTGACAACATTGCATCTTTATCCTTGACAACATGAGTTTATCTTTGACAACATGACCATGTATCCTTGACAACATTGCATCTTTATCCTCGACAACAGGGCATCTTTATCCTTGACAACATGAGTTTATCTTTGACAACATGATCCTGTATCCTTGATAACATAGCATCTTTATCCTTGACAACATGAGTTTATCCTTGACAACATGAGTTTATCCTTGACAACATGAGTTTATCCTTGAAAACAGGGCAGCTTTATCCTTGACAACATGAGTATAACAGTTTAATTTTTACCACATGAAACTTTTTCAAATGGCAGCTTGTCTATAACAAGACTCTTGAAGAGGCCCAGGGGCCTGAGTAACTCACCTGGTGTTTGTAAAACTGTGTTATATCAAATGTTGAAGTATTGATACATGTTTATCAAAAGATGCCAGCTAAAAACTGACATAAATTAAGCATTAAAGCTCTTCGAATATTTATCCCTATCCATATAAGCCTCAAATCCTATTTCAGCCTTTATTATATTCTAATATCTTGACTGACTATTAGACCTTTACCATGTATTCCTTAGTCCCCTTGACCCAAAGATGATTTTACCAGCAAATATATGACAGGCACATACCGAAACAGAAAAGAGAATATCAATTGTTTTAAGGAAAAGGAATCTACCGACAAGGAATGACCCAATACGATGTCACTTCCTATAACATTACCATTTCTATTAGACCATCTTTCCCTCTTATGGTAACTGTCTCTAAAAATTCCCCCCGAATTAACAAACACCCTGCTACAATCAGCCCCCCCCCCCCCTAATTAAATCTGTGCGTGTTGTAGATGTGTTGTAGTAGTTCCTGATAGCCTCGGATCAAGGTTTGTGCATACAGCCGAATTAGTTTGCCTGCGAGGCAACATAATGAACGGTGGTGACATAAATATTGTGTAGCTACTCCAGACTTTCCTTGTATACCAGTGTATAGGACTGACCTCGGTGAACTGACCCATGAAAGCAAGTCAGCACACCATAGTAGTAGTATACACTGACCCAATTATACACCAATACACAGACATCCCCTCACAGGCAAGCACCTGGCTCCTGTTGGGTGATATTTGAGACAGAGTTAAGTTCATTTCAATTGATGTAACGCTAGTCATTATAATGTTATGTTACATAACACACACTAAAACGGATCACAACAAATTTAAAATGATCTATCAACTATTTATAAAAAAAAAAAATATTACCAAATATTTTTGCAACAGTCCTTTATCAATTTCAAAACTTTTGAACCAATCTTGACCTTATAGAAAAAAAAGTCAATCGTCTCCAGTATAAATGATAATTGCATGAGCAAATTCAAGCATTTTTCAGAGATATGCATGGCTCTATTTCTAAGTACTTTTCAAGCACTGACCTCAATTCCAGCACTTACTCTGGTATGTACCGATATATAGGCACCATATGATAACATATATGACTGCCCCAGGCTGGTAAATTTTCTTCTCAAACTATTTGCTTGCCATCTATCTCACTAATACCATGAAATAATATAGGTGTTCATCAGCAAATGTCATAACTGCACTCAGTGTGGTTATCTCATAATCTGTAATAATGGTGTTGGTTTCAAAATTCGTAAGGTCTGTTCTGAACAATGAAAATATTAATCCACAAGGTGTGCTTTAATTTGCTGCTGTAATAACTTACCTGATAACAAAGTGATCCCTGGGGACTTTTATCACGCAATCTCCAACAGCTAACTACGTAATCTGGAATAAACAACACCTTACTTTAGCATTCATACAGATTATTGTAATGTATATTACCATGTAGTATGACTGTCACAATTAACCCTGATTAATCCGCTCTATGTCTTACAAATATGCTAATAAACTAAACAGACACAGAAACATCCTGAACAAAATTAATTCCCTCTTGTAATCAATGCAAATATATACAATTAAAGCTACTGAAAGTTGTCCAGTGCTGTAATCAAGCAATTGCTGGGACATCGTATGAAGACATTGGGACATCGTATGAAGACATTGGGACATCGTATGAAGACATTGGGATATCGTATGAAGACTTTGGGACATCGTATGAAGACATTGGGACATCGTATGAAGACATTGGGACATCGTATCATCGTATGAAGACATTGAGATAACAGAGATTTTGTACCTACTGCTGCGACGTCCACGAAAAACCTGGCTGTAACATTGTATCTGTGCTATCATTTAGCTCGCTCTTAGACCATGAAGACATGAAGACAGGTATTTGCATTATCAAGAATTTCAATTCTAAAGGACCATAAGATTAAATTTGAATCGAGGTAATTGCCTGGGCCATGAAAACCTGGATATATATATATATATCTTTCCAAGACATTAAAGGCAATGGAATGAAGGGTGATGGTTTTGTATAGGAAAATATCTAACCTGAGGCTTTATTTAATAGAAGGAATGAAGATTGTTTAATATAGGAGAATGCATATTTTTTTACAACTGGTTTTATTCTGGGATTCTTGATGTGTAATCAACTGTTAGAATGTATGATTTTGATAGTTATGATAGCCTGCCTTGTAACCTAGTGTTGACTATGAGTAATAATATCTATAGTACTTGACAGACATCTATTACTAATATCTCCACCAGGCTCTGTCCTGCTGTACAACATTTCCTATGTAAATAAGACTTTAGGTTTGTTTAGAACACAAACAGGAATTGAAAACTTATTTTGCGAGCTTTCGAAAATGTCTGTTTCCTTTGTCAAGCAAAGAGTGTAAATGGCCGGTGTCTCGACTCTAAACCACTGAAAACAACTCACTAAGCCACAGTGGGCCGAATCAAGTAAAGTCAGCTGTCAAAAATCATAGAGACATTTCGCGCAACTGCACTCTAATACTGCAGGCAGTCAGGGGGACGGGTAACATGTTTACCCATTCCACCCCTTAGTAGTTGTTAAAATGGGGTCATAAAGATGACTCAGCTGGTGGCCCCCTCGTCTCTGTTCGTCAAATCCCCTTCTGTCCTTACCCAGATGGATTCTTTGATTATTATTCCAAATTCCTAATTTCCTATGTATATTTATTTTGTGTTACTGCTCTCATACCTAAGTGTGTCACCTATAAGTATAAAAGATCAGCATATAATCAGGACTGTAAGCTGAAGGGCGGACTTAAACCTCACCGCCAACCACCCGCCTTTCCAATCCTCAATTGTACCATCTACCCGGTATACTGGTATGTGTGTACACACATCCTCCCTGATAAACAGTATGATTGAAAGGTATTAACGAAAGGTTACAAATGATGATGATTATGTAACGCTACCAACCAGGCCTTAAAGAAACAGAATGAAAACTGAATGGGATTTGTTGTCTAAACAAGACTGTTATAAACTTTGTAAATGAAAAATAAAGTTCATAGTAAGCAACTCCCTTGGAATTACGATGTTCCACTGAAATCTATGCAGTCGAAGTGGTCAGGATAAACTTGTGTCTACAAACAGACTGGACACCCTGACTCCAGTATACAACTTCCCCAACTTTGTACAATGCCGGGGTATTTTAAAATTCTAGTATATGACAAAATGATGGTGGAAAATCTAGTGTCCACTGGTCAAGTTACTGGCTTATCATGCAGATAGCCAGGTGTTGATCCTTATGGTAATTAGTAAACATGAAATTGTCAGATATGTTACCAGTAAATTTAATCATGTATAGATCCAAAGTCATTCATGTATATAAAACATCTCCTACAGGCTAACACTTCTTAATTTGTAGATCAACATTGTAAGGCCAAGTCCACATTGTATAACATTCATAAGGGCTGCAAAGATATATATTGTGACGATATATATCGCGATAATTTGAATACGATAAGATATACAATATTTTTGGGAGGTCACAATACACCTGCAATATTTTCTGTTTTTTTGTTGTTTATGAATTTAGTCTACCCAAATCCGTTCCCACATAGCGAGTGACAGCTTCAGCTCAGTATACACGTTGAAAAACGTGAATTGTGTGAAACATTAAAGTCCGTTTCCTTTTGTAATATTGTCATTAAAAAATTGCAACATATCTTTTCTCTATACTTCTGCCCTTTCTGTATTGTGATATATATTTATCGTGACCACAGTATCGTGCTATGTATTGTATTAAAGCAGCCCTAACATTTACACATTACCCCATTAAAGATCCTGATCAACACCCATCATTCACAATTGCAATAACAGTTTACCATGTCTACTAGCTCATACAACCTGGCAAGTTCTATGTATCTATGGCACAAATTTAGTTCAGTGATTACATGCAAGTCCAAAGTTCTGAAAAGGGACTGTCCCCTATAGAATTTCTGGAAATACTGAAATCTTACATGGCAATACCCATGGTGTTTAACAATAGAGTGAAAAAAGTCCAATGAAAGTTAATTGTAGAACGATCACTGTGTATTCTTAATTCCTTGTTTTTCAATCTTTACAATTCAGTGCTTTAAATTACATATTAGCTGGTCACATAACCAGCGCACACTGGTTCTTACTGGGCAGATAACTTGACTGAACAAATTGAGCAGGCCCTGGCAGCAGAATGGATCTCAACGATACACATAAACTGATGTTCTTAGCTAGTCCTATAATATATCATATAGGATACTATATACCAGTACTAGTTATAGACAGATGTTTGATTTGGTTTGGTTTAGTATTGTTTAACGTCCTATCAACAGCTATGGTCATTTATGGACGGCCTCCCCTGTGTGCAAGATGCATGTGTGTAGTATATGTGTTTGTGTTTTAGGAGGCTGCGATATGTTTGTGTTTGTCTCCTTGTGATAGCGCGGAACTGATGCCGACTTTATAGTGCTACCTCACTGAAACATACTGCCGAAGACACCCAGCAGGACACCCCACCCGGTCACATTATACTGACAACGGGCGAACCAGTCGTCCCACTCCTAAATTGCTGAGCGTTAAGCAGGAGGAGAAATTAAACTACCAATTTTACAGACTCTGGTATGTCTCGGCCAGGGGACAGAACCCAAAGCCTTCCTCACAGGGGCGAACGCTCAACTAAACGCCAAAAGTGAGGCATTGTCAATGGAGACATTAGGAAGAAGAAAGTTGTTTAGAAAGAAGAGAAAAGTTAAGATCCCAAATTTAGTCGCCTCTTACGATCATGCAATTGGGGCAGCAGGTCCAATTCTTACATCCTACGGGATATAAACAGATGTAGGTCCTAGACTAGCGTTATAGCTTATCACAGTACATGGTGAACTAACATAGAACAATTGATCAACAAAATCCGTTAAACTGTTAAAGAGGAAATATTTAAGGGGGAAAACATTTATTTTTAATGACTTGTTTCATTGAATAAGCTACCACAATAGGGCTGTTATCCTAGAGGAGGGTAATTAGCACCCATCATTTGTAAGAGCGATATTCTATGTTAGTTTGATCTGTTTTCTTTTGTTCCATTTGTGAATTGATATTCTTAAACTTATAAACAGTATACACGTACCTTGTGATTTAACTTTATTGTAACTTTTGATAAAACTTTAATACAACTGGATTTGACGATGTCCTTTCAAAGTTAGCTTGCTGTCTGACCTAATAATTTACTAATTTAGTAGTGTGCAAAAAAAAGAAACGAGATATTTCTGTTTTCTGGCAGTAGTGTTTATTTTCTTATCGAGCAGCTTTAAGCTCAAAAAGAAATTTGCAAATCTTAGTGAACAGGAAGAACTTACACATACAAGGTAAATCTACAAATATTTGAGAAAAAATTGTCAATTACTTCCTGAGAATGTCAATGGATATAAACATGTATAAAAATCTTTAAGAGTAAAAAAAAGCCTGATGTCCAACTTGTTTTTCAGATCAGCCTAAAAATGAAACATGCACAATTAAGTACCATGAGAAATTTAATATGTCAAATTTAGGGAATGGTCTGTCAAGTACTTTTTGAGAAATAGTGATAACAAACTTTAATTAAGAGTCAAAATAAAGACTGTGGCTGGAGGCTTTAATATTTTCCTTATCGGTCTCAATATGAAACATGAACAGCAAAAATAGACTAAGGGCGGGAACCTTCATGTTAAATTTGAGAAAGATGCGTAAAGTACTTCTTGAGAAAGAGCAATAACAAGAATAGCTTTAAAAAAAAAAAAAAAGTTTAACCCTTTCACCCCTGTATAACTTTAGACTCAACCATGCATTTATCTGGACGAGTCAATTATGGTCTGAAGTGTTGAAAGGGTTAAGGAAAGACAACAAACGGATGGATAACAAACCATGGACGATGATGGTGGGCTAAAAATTCCTAGAGTAGATATAGTCTGGTCTAGTTCCTATACAACACACAAACAACTTGTTAATCATGTCTGTATTTACACAAGCTAAGGTAAATCTACCTGAAACATCTCAAAGTAAGGCTTCTTAAGTCTTAAGAATACAACGAGACCTATGCAATATGCACCGTTGTCCGCCCTTCACATACATCCTGTGTTATATACATTCTATCAGTGTCTACTTAAACGCTATTGCATCACATGGGACTCTAGCTACTACTCCTGAGCCTTAGGAAGGAAGTTGACATAATGACTGTATGTATGCAGACTTTGGCCTATACAATAGTTAGCAATGTCTTACAATGACAGGACAGCATATTGTCGCTGTCCCTAAATTCATTTACAGACAAAATATCAGTAAATAAGAAAGACTTATTTCATCTGACCACTGCACCCATTCACAAGGCCTTGGTATTTTCA